AAGGGGCGTACCTAGCGATATAATTGTAAGTGTTGGAACATAGTCACTAGTTGATAGTTCAGCACCTGTCACCTTCTCGGTCGGTCCCTCTCTCCTTCAAGGCTTCTTAACACGAAGTGGTGTCTGTGTGGATCATGTGTGATTTTCACAACGACACATGATAACGTGTGCTGTCGCGAATTGGTTAAAGGAGGCAGATGAAATGGATGGTTCCCATCAACGACGGGATATTGCGCGAAGGCTGAGGGAGAAGTTGAAGGACATGAAAGGACAATGTATCGTCCAACACCCGTCCTTCCATAAAGTCGTTTTGGATTCAGAGGTGTCCCCTTGTTTTTACCGTTATTCGTACCTGTTCAAACATTATACAGGTACTGCCTGTTTGGGTTGAAAATCGACGGTATGAAAAAAGAAGAAGGATGGAAGCTCGGCATGAAGAACCAAACAAGCCAGTTTTTATTTCATAAGTTGTACAACGTGCAGTAGACTCAGTCCATATTTTCAGAATTTTTCGCTACTATGCGTATAGATCGTTTGTTGCTGGGCCTACGGTCATCTTGGCCTGGGTAAGCGGTATGAGCTTCCAGCGTGTGTGAGAGCAGCTATAATGGCTGAGTACCCTTCCAACACAGGAAATTACGTTGGGTTCAAGGTGGGTTGCTAAAGAAGAATAAGAGGCTGAATATACTTTTCTTGCCAAATCTTACAATTTAGCGAACGAGTGACAAGGATCCGCCATTGGAATGCGAGTAGGAGGAGTGGCGGGACAGGGATTTTCGAACGATATGATGATGAATGATAAACTTGAATATCATAAGCATCATGAAATGTAAATAAAATGTAACATGAAAGAGGTATAGCGATATACAGTTCTTCTTCATCCAGATCTTGAACATATTCGCCAGTGAAGTGCGCCAGACGACGAGCAAGCACATCTTGGTAAATGTACTTTCTCCAGAGCTGCTCACAGGCAGCTTCACGGAAAAGCTTAGTTTTCCTAAGCAAGTACTTCTGCTGCACTTTGAAGGTCTTCACGATCTTTCGTCCTTTTGTGTGCTCGGCCAACCTCAGGCTATTCATGTGCATCGCGCACATTTGGCATAGTAATGGTAC